TTTCTAACGTTCTTAACAATTTTCAAAATGGTAGGTTACATTCAAAAAAAGTTCCCGGGAGAATCTAGGTACCTGCTTTCGACTAAAGTTTACAAACATTAATTTGGCTAGATTAGCTCATTTTCATTGTTTACGCAGCTTCATTTCGATTCAGGGAGTAAGTATCTTCTGTTAAATCCGCAACGATCCTGCATTCTGGCGTATTCTGAATAATTTTCATATCAGATCAACAATGTTGTGGTGAGTTTTCAGCGACAGAAACGTTTGCTGAAATAGCAGACATTTATTAACCATCTAATCATGTAACAGAGGAAGCCATATTTGACTGGTCTTGTAGGTTTCTTCCTGCCTGTTCGACCGCTACTGTTTTCAAGACCTTTCTTTTTCGACAGTTGACATCTTGTATTTCACTATACCGAAAGACCCTTCAGTATGCTGTTTCGCAACAGCAGATCCATTCTCATCTGCTCTGCCGAGACAAGCCATTTGTTCACTGATCCAGTTCTCAAGCGTTCTACCGGTGTCTTAAAAGCAGCACTTTGCTAATCATTCAGAACTGGAAGAACTCAAGTGAAAGAAGTACATGGTTCATGATCAGTTACGGAATAATCACAATTTATAGAATCAACACAAAATTTTCAGACCATATACAAGACACCATATCAAAACGGATGGATGAAGGGACAGCATATCGAATAACGTATTCATGAGAAGAGAGCCATACTTGTGAAACCAGTGAACAACTGAAGAAATGGATAAAGGAACACTCGGCAGAGCAGAAGAAAAGGGATTTGCCCTGGTAAAGAAAACATAGTAAAGAACTATAACCGTGAAATGGACAAAACATTAATATTAACATGCATGAATAAACATACAACATCGGTCTAGCACGGTTTCTGATACATGATTGAATTATCAACATCTATGCTATTTGAACTCGCGTTTTTCTCTACAAACTTATTACCTAACTTTTCAGCATTGCCCTAATCACAAACAATCAAAACACATGAAGAACAGCTACAACCAAAGCACGTCATCAAAAAACATGAGGCCATTGCATTAGGTTCGACCTACTCACATGCGACTCGCCATCCTTAGATGCAAGATACTCCGGTTACAAAAGTGGTTACGCTCTCCGCCAATCGCATACTATTTAAACATTTACAATTAAAAATATTTAAATAAAGTGGCCTAAATAAACTTCAACCCAAAACTAGTGCCTAGATCTCCTTTAAACCTTCCTATGAAGAATACCCACGACGTTGAAAAGTATTAAGGACAAAGAAGCCAAAGGTCACGTAGTCCAGTTCAAATCTGACAGTACAGACAATTATAGCCGAAGTTCAGTTTGCTATTAACGGCTGATATTATTCCAAATCGATGGTTATAGTTTTACAAGGAACCCACAATAAAGCTGTTTACTCGTGGGGTATATCTTTCAGTTACGAAGGCAGTAGTTGCAGCTGTGTGCAAACATGACCTGAAGTCCGTTCCTTCATACTCACGAAGAATGGTACTCGTCCATTAGTCATTAAGGGTGAAATTGATGACTACAGATTAATTTTCAGGTTCGACATGCACACTTCAACATCAAAAGAAACTCGCAGACATGCACGTTTAAATAATGACGAGCTATACTTTATTATTTATACCATGCAGTAGGCGTTACCTTACGCCAACAAAATAAGGTCTGGCCTCCGAGTTTGACAAGAGCTTTTATGTACTACATTTCCCTAAGGGCAGGGGAGAAGAGGGCAGTTAGAAGATTCATCCAGTGCTAATAATACCGTCACATATTTTTCCTATACCTCCATAAGTTTATTTTTCTTGATTGTTTTATCTCTTAGTCATGCATTCGATTTCTGCTAATGAGCAGCTGACACATGAACTCTCCAGCATTAAGGCCTTATTCTATTTTTGATGGCCTATTGATTTCCTTCCACAAGCCTCTCGGCATGGGGC